AAATTATCTGAATTCATACTAAAGGATTGAGGGAGGAGGAGGGTGGAGAGGGAAAATAAATTTGATCTGGTTACATTAAAGATATTTATATAAGACCTGTTGTAAATGCATATAGTAACTCTAACTTAATTGTACAAATAATCCAAGAGACCTCAGTGTTGCTATTTTAATGGAGTCACAGATTCGGACCTAGTGAAATTCAAATTAATGAGCTTATATTGTATTAATAAAGTCTTTTCATGTGAGTTCATTGCTAGGAAGTGGAATTTCAAAAATTACTTTTCATTCATCAATTATTAATTACAGTTAGGGAATGAGAAAGCACTCACCATGTACTTCAGACCTTAAAATTCTATGATATGGTTGAAAAGAATTGAGTTAAAAGACAAAGCAGATGCCAGTATGTCTTAACTTCAAATGTTAAATATAAAATGCCTTTAAAAAGTATTATTTGGTGTTTATAAAGAAATTGATCTTGTAGAAGTTGAAATTCTGTGATAAAAAGATCATCTAATTTCTAGCCTTTGCTTAGATTACATTTAATTAAATGAAGAGGCTAAGTTTCCTTATATTGGATTTAATGTATTAAGATTCACATTTATTTTTTAGGTCGCTTGTGCAAGTAAGACACTAGACCCAGTTTATTTACCAACATATCTATAAATGAAATCATCTTCTAACATTTTTTTCTTCCTTCTCTTGGCTCCTTGGTTCGTAAAGAGGACAAGAGAAAATGGAGGCAAAATTATCAGTGTTAATAGTAGCTGAAATGATGCATTATTGGTATTGGTTAGGGGTAAAAGATGAATTCTTTAGTTATTTTAAGAGATCAGATGAGTGAGTACTACTGCTTAATACAGCACTTCACTGTTTAGAAAAGTCACATTTAATCAGTAGATTGAAAATCCTTTGAGATTAAGCATGCATATTTTACAAAATAGGCAACAGCGTCTGGCCCTGGTGAAAGGACTGTGACTCATATGCAGGTCTTCTGACTCTCAAGTCATGTTCCAATCACCTTTCTTTTCTCTGTCAGGTGACTGTTAAATAAATCTGACTTGAGTCTTGTCCAAGGGAGCTAAGTCATGCAACAGCCAGATGACTTTGTAAGGAGTGTGACTTAATTTTACGATGTGCTCTGAAGACAGTATGATAATGCAGTGTTACTAATCACAAATAAAATGTAAAGTTATGATGGACTTATTTGTTGTAGTCAGTACATTTTAATGTTCAGTTTTGATTTTAAATCAAGTGGTGAGGTCCGCAGTGTCCTCTCTAGGCATTATGGAGAAGAGGCTGTGATATGGCAGGTTTTAGGATGGCATATATTTAGAGTAACTCTTCCCCTAAACTAGACTAACTCTCAGTTGCTTTATTGCTCAACTTTAAAGCATATCCCCATGCCTTTTATTTTCTTTTTTTAACTTCCAAAGAATTATTTTGGCATGTTAGATTATTTCACAGGGATATTATATTTGGCTAAAGACCCATTTCTGAATAACCGTTATTTTGTCTACCCATATAAATACAGTTCTGATTTCAAATTGTGGTTTGAGTTAGTGTTCGGTTTTTGTGGAGAAATATTCAGAATCTCTGATGGGAGGAAAATAAGGGTGCCTGGAGAAAAAGAGAAGTCTGTAGGGACCTTTGAAGTCAGTATTTGACTTTCTTTTCTAAACCTTTCCTAGTTAATACCGTTCTTCCAAGCCTTCCCTCCAAATTCTGAGGGTTTTTTCATAGACTTCAGTATCAGAATATGTTTAAACTACTACTTGAAATTGAAACAGCCCTCTGCATGCCTGCAAGGATATGCAGAGTTATCAGTTCTCTATCACATTATAGTTTAGGACTAACTTGTATTCTGATGAGTTTAAGAAATTTTTATTCTATAATTTTGGCCATAAGGCTGTTTTGACCCTACCTTTCAGAACAGAGATTTTAATCAAAATTATACTAATATTAATTTCATTAAGAAGATATCTTTGACTTGAACTTTATTTTATTTATCTATCTATCTATCTATCTATCTATTTATTTATTTTACGGTTTTATTTATTTGACAGAGTGCACAGGCAGGGGGAGCAGGAGCAGGAGAGGGAGAAGCAGGCTCCCCGCTGAGCAGGGAGCTCGATACAGGGCTCAGGACCCTGGGATCGCGCCCTGAGCCAGAGGCAGACGCTTAACTCATTGAGCCACCCAGGCACCCCGAACTTTATTTTTTTTTTAAAGATTTATTTATTTTGTGAGAGAGAGAATGGGGGGTCCGGGGCAGGGGAGGGGAGGGGCAGAGGGAGAGAATCTCAGACTCCCTGCTGAGTGTAGAGCTGGATGCGGGACTCAGTCCCAGGACCCCAGGATCATGATCTGAGCCAAAATCAAGAGTCAGACGCTAAACTGACTGAGCCACCCAGGCGCCCCTTGATTTGAACTTTATTAATATAGATTTCTTGATCTGTTTTTTTATAGAGCAAAATTAAATTTTTCTAATTTATTTTATTAAAATTTTAATCAGAGCAAAATCAACTCTTTGCTCTATGAATTTTACTCTGAAGATGTCTATCATTCAGTTTTATCTTTCTTTTCTTTTTTTTAATAAGAGACAGTATACTGTAGTGGTTACATTCTGGTTATGCTCCAAAGCGGTGCTGTCCAATAAAAATATAATGCAGGCCACATGTATAATTATTAATGTTTAGTAGCCATGTTAAAAATAAAAAGATACAGGTGAAGTTAATTTTAGTAACATTTTATATAGCTCAGAATATTATTATTTTGATATATAATCAATATAAAACATCACTAATTTTAGAAGAAAGTAGATGGAGATCTGAGAGAAAGGGAAGGTGGAGGTAAATTTGACCTCTCTTTCTCTGCTGCCTTTCCATAGTGGGGGAGGATGAAACAGAGGACTGTGCCCATCGTTACTCTGGCTCTTACTGTAGTCCATGAGTGGAATGGTTAATTCAGAACATCAACAAAATATTAATTTATTTGCTGTTCTTCCTCTGAATAGTTGAGAATTCTATTTACATTCAGAATGTAGTAATAGAAAGGGCCCAAATAGCACCATGTGTTCGTAGTATATATGTGCACATTAAGAATCTAAAATGTCTTTTACTGACTCAGACTTTAATAGTAATCTTGTTCTCTCTCTTTTTTCTTAATGTCCAAGCTTAAATTCCTTACTGGAAAGACAGGAAAGGAAACGTTTGTAGTAGATTTTCCAAACACAAATCTTGCTTTTATAATATGGTTATGGCAACCATCTCTATTTTGGTAAAGTTAGCCTGTTACATGAATTACATTTTGCAATTTAGATTTTTGCAATTTAGAAGAACCACAAGCCATTGCAAACAATTAAACTGGACATTTTTGTATATACACTTAGTACTTTAAATCAGAATTATTAGGCATTGTGCAAGGCAGATTGAAAACATAAAGCAGATGGATCTGGCCTAATCTGTAGGGTTTAGAGAAAACTTTGAGGAAGTGACCTACAAACTTAGATGTAAAGGTGAATAAAAGTTAATAGGCGGTCCTGATGGAAAAGAGCTTCTCAGGTAGAAGAAAAAATATCTGCAGAAGTCTTGTAGTAGGAATTGAGAGTCCAGAAATAAACCATACATATCTCATCAGTTGGTTTTCAACAAGGGTACCAAAAAAACAGTTTTTTCAACATACGGTGCTGGAACAACTGGATATCTGCGTGCACAAGAACAAAATTGATCCTTACCTCACACCATGCGTGAAAATTAACTCAAAATGGATCACAGACCTGCATTTTAGAGTTAAAATTATAAAACTTTTAGAAGAATACACAGGAATAAATCTTAGTTGAATTAGGCATTGATTTCTTTGATGTGACTCTAAAAGCACAGGTAACAAAAGAAAAAAGTTGGACCTCATCAAAATTAAAAACTCTTGTACTTCAAAGGATAGCATCAAGAAAGCAAAGTGACAACCCACGGAATGGGAGAAAATATTAGTGAGTCCTATATCTGACAAGGGGACTTGTGTTCAGCTACCACCAGGAAAATGCAGCATAATTCAGAATAGTTTTGTGGAAAGAGGTCAGAGTCTAGTGTTTGGATTGGAGTGTTTCTTGATTTGAAAAGTAGAGTGCTGCTGCAGAGCAATCTCTTCATTTCTTTCAGAACCAAACTTGTAATCTAGCTTGGGTAAGCATCTCCTTCAGCTCAAATTATCCATTCCTGAGGTGACAGGTATCAAAGCTCCCTGGGTCTGGCTGAGAGTTCCTTCACTCTGGGAATTGTTGGCCCTGTGGCACAGTTGGATTTATGAACAGGGTATCTCCTGTTGTAATTCTAGACTTTGCCTGTAATACTGCTTGGATTCCAGCTGTTCCACCAAGATTTTACAGATTTAAATAAGAATTATAAAAGTCCAGCATTCTTCTGAATTAGTCACATAAGCTATCGTTATTTTGATTAGTAGTTCAGAACCAGTGATCTGAATTGGGTTTTGCAACCTATATACCTCAGAATACTTTGTCCTATGAGCTGCACCCCGAGCCGTGCTCTTAGTTGTATTAAATATCCTTCTTAGCTCACCAAAAACCAGAGTCCAGCCAGGAAAATGGAAAAGGAAAATCTAAAATTGTCCTTTCCATTTCTCCCCCATTAAAGAGTGGCTCTGGAAATGTTTTATGCACGGAAGCAGTGGTGAAAAATCTCTTTTTTGCTATTAAGTTTCTGAAGAGAATGAAAACCCTTTTTCGGTTTTTAAATTTTCTGTTGAAGAATCGATTACTTAATTGGGGATAAACTGTGTGAATAAAGGCATAGTCTGGCTGCCAGGTAATTTCTATACCAGAAAGCCCAGTTCCTGAACCAAAGAAGAGATGGAAGTTATTAAATATTACTAATTAGAATAAGTGTATATATTCAAAATTTATAGGAAAGATGTTATAAATCTCATTATATATTCATCCAGGCTATTTTAATCAGTTAATGACTATCTTTATTCACGTTTTAAAACAGATGAACTCCGACAAGAAATGCTGGATGATGTACAAAAGAAATTGATGAACTTAGTAAACAGCACAGAAGGAAAAGTGGACAAGTATGCTCTGCCTTTTAACTTTTATGTATTTTATGGAGATTACCTTTACAGTAAAAAGAACTTCTACATGTAGATGTTTATATGTGATTAAGTTTTTAAAAAGGCTTTTCTTGTATGGTGATGAGATGTAGGTTGTTTTCATGAGGAGTCAGTAGAATAACTTCTCTTGGTTTTTAAATGGATTTTTCCCAGCTCAAATTCTTTTTCTTAAAACCATGTGGAAGAGTTAAAACATCACCATAATAGGAAGTGTGTAGAAAATAAAAAGTTTTATTCTTAGCATTCTTCTTAACTCTCTCTAGCTGTCCTTAAAGAACATACCTTGCTTCAGTGCATTAGGTCTGAAACCTAGGTATATATGTAATATATCATTAATATTTTAAAGATTTTGATATTATTAGCAAATTTTTAATAAATGTGAGTGTGGGAGTAGAAGCATACGTGTGAAGCACAAGAGCTGTCCTCACCATTTGAGGTGGGGAGGGAGACATCGGGAGTATCTTAAGGCAGAAGCCAGACAGACACTGAGAGTCACTGAGCACCATCTCAGTTGATTGATTCGGTTGGAGAAAGTAAGTGGGTAATAATTGATGTTTTAAAAGGTATGCATTTTTAGATTGTTTGAAATGTCTTTGATTAGACTTGTCAAGAGGTTTTTTTGTGTTGTTTTTTTTTTTTTTAAGTACTTCAAAATCTTTTGTTGGTTAGTGGTTTCTTGGTAACTTTTTAAAGTATAATATATGTTTAGTGTTTATTGTGTGGGTACACTAAATATGGGGATAACTATTGAGTTAGCCTGAGTTGTTTCTGCCTTTATTTTCACAGAGTCCTAATGAGAAACCTCTTCATTGGACATTTCCACACACCAAAACATCAGCGCCAGGAGGTGCTACGATTAATGGGAAGCATCCTGGGTATCAAGAGGGAGGAAATGGAGCAGGTAACTGAACAATGGAAAGCCATTCTCAATATTTTTATAACTCAGATAGTGGCATCATATAAAAGTGTCTTCTTTTACTCTATATTATACAGCTTTTCCTTTTTCTCAGTAATGGGGAAATGGACCAGTTCATACTACCATGAAGAGGTGGATTTGTTCAACTTGTGTAATACTAGTTTTGTCACTTATAAGTCACGTCTCCTGTCAAAATGCTAAATTTTGAGACATGACAAGCCCCAGCTCTGATTTGAGATAGTGCTTAGGATGACATTTTATTGTATGTGTAGCCTCTCCCAGTAAGAAACATTTACTAGGAATTGGACTTGAAAAGCATAGTGTGCTACCATCTGAAATCAAGTAAAAATAGTTCTTACTTTTTTCTTTTCTTGTATTGATAAAACTTTTCTGTTTTAAAATAATCTTTTAGTTGCTTCATGAAGATCAGGGTGGTGTTACCAGGTGGATGACTGGGTGGCTTGGAGGAGGATCAAAAAGTGTCCCCAACACGCCTCTGAGACCAAATCAACAATCTGTGCTTAATAGTGTAAGAGCCAGTTTTATTCTTGCTTTGAATATGAGTGGTGAAATGGTTGTGCTTCACATTCATTTGTGAAAATCAGATTTCTTTTTTAGATTATTTCATTATACAGCCCTTTTATTTTGGAGTTGTGGAAACTTGAGATCCAGAGAGGTGATTAGCTTAAGGATAATAAGCCAGTTTATTTATTTTACTTGTTTATTTATTTTTAAAGATTTTATTTATTTATTTGACAGAGAGCACAAGCAGGGAGAGTGGCAGAGGGAGAGGGAGAAGCAGGCTCCTCGCTGAGCAGGGAGCCCGATATGGGACTCAATCCCAGGACCCTGGGATCATGACCTGAGCTGAAGGCAGACGCTTAACTGACTGAACCACCCAGGCGCCCCATTAAGCCAGTTTAAATAAATTTATTGCATATATGTTTTATTTTAGCTTTTTATTTATACAGTACTTTTGTTTTTCAAAGTATTAAGTATTTTTGTATTTGATCATGCTGCTATAGGCACAGCATCATTTGTCTTACTACTAAATTACGAGATTCTTAAAGACAGAGGCTTTATTTTATGCATGTTTTTATCTACCTGGTCATTCAGCACTGAGCGCCTGCTGTGTACCAGACTGTTCTCAACTTTGGGGATGCAGCAGCAAACCAGAAGACAAAGTGCCTGCCCTCAGTAAACTTACATCTTGGCAGGAGGAAGAAGTTAATAAACATGAGAACACAGTGCCTAGTAGTCTGAATGAACATTAATAAACTGAGTAGCTCGGGACACCTGGCTGGCTCATTTGGAAGAGCATTGACTCTTGATTTTGGGGCCATGAGTTCAAGCCCCACATTGGGTGTAGAGATTACTTAAATAAATAAATAAAAACTAAACTAAAAATAAATAAATTGAGTAGCTGTGAATTATAATGTGGAGTTTGCTTCTTTATTTTACTTTGTTTTTTAATAAAGAAGAAACTGAGGATAGGTAACATACCCAGAGCTGGCTGAAGATAAAAAAATACCCTAGTTTAAATCGGATGGCATGAAATTTATTTTAAAGGAGAGGGCTAGGGGTGCCTGGCTGACTCAGTCGGTGGAGCAGGGGTTGTGGGTTTGTGCCCCATGTTGGGTGTAGAGATTACTTAAAAATAAAATCTTATAAAAACAAAGGAAAGGTTTACACTACATTATTTTAATCTGATAATATTACTGGTGAGCTTTTGCTATATTCATTGATTAAATATGACTTTTAATACTTGTTTTTGATGCTGTGTTTCATGTCCATGTAAATAGAACTAAAATGATTTAAGATGATGTCTTAAGTGACATCAGTGGCAAGAAATTTGTCATCAGGTAGCTAATTATGACTAAGGTTTGTAACAAATGTTATCATCAAACATTATTGATTATATTGCTAAAGGTTTTAATTGATAAACATAACTAAAGCACTAGTAGTTTTAATGGTTCATAAAGCTTAATTATAAAGAAATGATTCAGAAGGCATGATTAGTTTTTGATATTTAATTAGAGTAGCTGGTACATTTTTTTGCTTGTAATAAGTATAATTTAATATCTGCCTAATATATAACCCAAATATTATTTCCTTAGTCTTTTTCAGAACTTTTTGTTAAATTTCTAGAAACAGAATCTCATCCATCTGTTCCACCACCAAAGCTTTCTGTTCATGATATGAAACCTCTGGATTCACCAGGAAGGAGAAAAGTAGTCACAAATGTACCAGAAAGTTTTAAAGGTAAAACCAGATATTTATTTTTTCTACAATTTAAAAAATTGAATGTTTAATTTATAATTATGTTTTACCGTGATCTTAACTAAATTTTTAGTGTTTTTGAAAACGTGCAGTGACTTCTTCCAAAATTCCAGTAAGGCATTAGATTTTGGCTTCATATATTCTGTAGCAATCTGATACTTAATTAGCTTAGATTAACCTACACAATATGAAATATTTTTCCTTTGTATATTGAAATAACTCTTCTCTCTGCATAAGCCACTTTGAATTATTCTTGGAAGTGCTGGTGAACCAGTAAACCTTTGCTTGGTCATCTGTTTTTCTTTCACACTAAAGGTGCTTATTGCTAAATTAGAGTTAAAAGTGTAGTTTATATTCAGATTGTTTCAGTTTCTCTTATAAATATTGCTGTGATGAACATCCTTGATAAATTTTTGCACACGTCCTTAATGTTTCCCTTAAGATTAATTTTTGTAAGTATAATACCTACATGTAGACATTTCTTAAGAATTAAAATATAATGGCAAATTACCCTCAAAAAAAAAAGTGTAGTTTATAGTTAGAGAAAGGTTTTTCTCCCTCACACATCTAAGTGTGAACATTCAATAACCAAACCTTGGTATGTTAGTAATATAATTTATAAGAGCGGTTTAGTAAACTGGCTTAGACATCCAAGAATGTATTGAAGCATTCTTGTATGTTAAAAGGTCTGCCTAGAAACAAATGGTTTGGTGGTTCTGTGATTTGTATGTATGGTTTTCTATCCCACTAGGTCAAAAGGGCCTTACTTATATTTATGTCCCAATATTACAGGCATGCAGTAAATTTTCTTGAGTTGAAATTGCAGTATAGTCCATTAGACTATGAACGGATTGTTTATTAGAAAGTCTCTCTTTTATCTGAAATCTTCGTATTTTAATACAGACTAAAATGTTCACTAGTTGGACTGTAAAAGTGTGTTATTATATACCCTCAAGTTTATATCACATCAGATACTTAAATTTGGATAAAATATTGAAGAATTTATATTTTGAAATTTTAAAAAACTCTCTTAAAGTCTAATTTAGCTGAATATTTTTATTTTCCTGAACTTTTATATAAAAAGAAATGGTAAAATTTGTTTGGATAAAAGGTGTGGTTCCTAAATGTAATAAAGAGTCTTCACTTTAACAGCCACAGACTATACTGAAAACACTTTTTTCTTGGGGCGCGTGGGTGGCTCAGTCGGTTAAGCATCTGCCTTCCACTCAGGTCATGATCCCAGTGTCCTGGGATCGAGTCCCACATCGGGCTCTCCCTGCGTCTCCCTCTCCCTCTGCCTGCTGCTCCGCCTGCTTGTACTCTTTCTCTCCCCCTCTGTCAAATAAATAAATAAAATCCTTAAAAACAAAACAAAACCATACTTTTTTTCTTGCTACACTAGGTTGTAGCATCTTCAAGTGGATTCCAGAATTCATGATGGCAATGTCTCCTGCTCCCTGTCCTCCCTTCCGTCTCCATCTCTACCCCCTCCATCCCTTCCCCTTCTTCCCGCTCTTCTTCCCTTTTCTCCCTCTCTTCACTTATCAAGACATGTGCCCAGCTTGGTTTGGATTGATCAGAGACAAAAAGCCAGTGATATTCTGAGCTGGTACAGGGTTTACATTTAAAAACAACAACAAAAGACAAGCTTAGTCTTTAATGCTGGATTTGGAAGTGTGTGACAAGGGTCAGAGCTTACTAAGGAGCACCAGAAGCTTTTCCAGAGTTTGGAAAGTTGTCATTCATGGAGAAGTAAAGCTTGGGGACCCAGTAAACCAGTTAAGTTGATTGGATGAATTTGTCTCAATGCTTTCTTTGTATTAGAGGCTTCTTTTTATTTTGAGTTTCCCATTGCTTGAGTGGTGCTTGTCTCTTAACAAGAAAGTTGTTAGTCGTCTTGGGTAATAAAGCAGAATTCTATCCACCAGGACATTAGGGAATTAACAGATACCTATTCCAGTAAAAAACTAGTTTTAACGTAACTTGATAGAGAAATAACCTAATGGAGAATTGTTTCAAACCTCTGAATGTCTAAAAAAGGAGGATCAGGTAATGTAATGCGAAAAAATTGTTTTTCTTTGGGTAAATAATATTAAATTTGTTATCATTGTGGAATTGGTGCCGGTTTTTTTCGTGGCCCTCATAATTATTGGGGGTAAGGAGTTCTCAAATCTTTCCATGTTTCAGGTGAATAGGTAGAAAATTTGCATTGTAACCTAGAAAACACCCTCTGAGAAGCCGTTATTAAAGTAAATGAAGTTCATCAGTTATATAACTGTTATTTGGATATCAAACAATATTAATGTGTTTAATAAAGTATTATCTGTGCATACAGATATTCCTCCCTCCCCAGTTCTTTGTCCATTCCTCTTGCTTCCTGTCTTGTCTTTTTTTACCCTTTATATGTCATAGACCCAGCTTAGGGGAACCAGAACCCAGCAGCATAGGAATTAAATTTATTCGGGGGCCAAATCTAGGAACCCAAAACACAAGTATAGTGTTAACTAAATAATATATAGGAGGTTGACTAACTTGTATTTTATCATCTAGATACCACAGAATCCAGATCTGGGAGCAGAACAGATGTGAACCCATTCTTGGCTCCCCGCTCTGCGGCTGTGCCTCTCATTAACCCGGCTGGACTTGGACCTGGGGGGCCTGGGCATCTTCTTTTGAAACCCATCTCAGATGTGTTGCCCACATTTACACCTTTGCCAGTGTCACCTGACAACAGCGCTGGAGTTGTGTTGAAAGACCTTTTAAAGCAATAGGTGATTCTCAAGCCAGAGACAACATATGTAGCACTTTAAAGAAACCATGAACACTATATGTATGTACTTTACCACAAAGTGGCCTTTCAGAAACAGTCATGTATTTGTTTGCAGTTGTACATTCTCTAAACTTAATAAAAATATTCTTTTTGCTTTTAGAGATTGCAGATGTCACAGGGGGAAGTGTTTGCTGTAGTATATGCTTTTTTTCTTCTCTGGTTGGCCAAATTTAAGCTAGAAACATTTGATTTTTCATCTTAATTTACAAAAAATAAGAAAAATATAAAGAGAGATAAAAATTTCTAGTAGCTATAGATCAGCTCTTTATTTCTATGATTTTCAAGCTCATTTAAGCTAGAGACATGTGGTTTATCTTTTAAAGATAATCAAATTTACAAAAAAGGAGAAAATAATGGTGGCTTATCTGTATAGTGCAAACAATTGATCTGAAGCATATATTGGTCGTCTTTTTTTTTTTTTCATTAGTCCTCTGGAGAGGACTTTGTGTATAGACAGGCCAACAACAGGGTTGTGCCTCGGAGATCATAGGTGTCCAGACGTGGAATGTGTGTGTGTTTGGTTCTATGCAATTTTATCACACGTTGTCGATCACTGTGATCAGCACTACAGTGCAGTGCAGATACCCAACAGTTTCATCAAGGCTCTCTCGAGCTGCCCTATTGTATTTTATAATCGCGGCCTCCTTCCCTTCCCGTGCCCGCCTCATCTCTGGCAACCACTGACTGCTCTCAAGCTCTGTAATTTGGTCACTTCAAGAGTGCTGTGTAAATGGACTCGTGCAGTATGTAACCTTTGGGATTGGCTTTTTTCACTCAACATAATTCCCTTGAGACCTTTCCAAGTTGTTACATGTATCATGATTTGTTCCTTTTTAATGCTGAGTTACATACGGTGGAGATATGATTTAGTTTTAAGAGCCAAGGTATCTTTTTAAAGGTAACATCTCAAAAACGTTTGCTCACACACATGCACACAGCTTTTGGGTAAGTGTTAAGTTGAACAGCTGCATTTACGTACCTACAGTTGGCAATATCACGGAACGGGATACCTCCTGCCCTTTCTGCGGAGGGGTAGAAGAGGCGCCTTGGTCCAGGAGTCCCCGGTTCTCATCCTCATGGTCACTGAGGGTAGTGACGTCAACAGCACCAGCACCGGGTGTTTGCAACTAAAGAAGAAGGGAGTAGTTCTTTAATTTTTCACAAACCCATCCTAAAAAATCTTGACCTGGAACTTAATTATATCGGGATGTTTGTGTTTGTATTAGTCGTTGGAGTTGTACATTTGAAGACATTTCTTGCGAATTTTGTAAATTTCAGTATACCTTGAAAATAGAAACATCTGTATAACAAGGAAAGGTGAAAATAATATTAATTCAAATATGTAAATAGGCCTGGCCCTGGCCAGGGCTCAGTTTGGTTGTTTGTAAATTTTGCTGTGATTAACTGTCTACTGTCTACTGTGTTTAGATTGGAAGATTAGAAGTCTTCATGTGTGGATGGGTAAAGCTCGTTTTTCTGAAATGTTTAGTAGCCGAGACATCGCTGCTTCAGAACATCATCTGTCTCCCGAGCTAATGTATTTATATCGCCGTTCTTTGTTCATTCCACTTTAAAGGAAGCTGTTGTACAGGTTCTATATTAGAACTGTCAAACTGCCTCTTGTCCGTTTTGCCCATTATTATTTCTCTATGAAATTATTACCTTTAGGTTTTATATGATCCTTCCAAAGATGCTTTCACTGGCCATCCTAAATTATGTGCTGCTTGCCATTGAAGTTTCATTTCAGTGTGGAGCATCTGAAATAAAAGTTTCTAAGTTAAAAAAAAAAGACACATGATCCTTCATTTTGAAGAAAGAGAACATGCAAAAAAGTTTCATCTTTTAATTTGAAAAGGAGATGCATGCTACATATTTAAGTAGCATATCATCATATTTTAAAGGCCTTTGAGGACATTTTGAGCATTTCCTCCCCTCCAAGTTTGAAAGCGGTTATGGGTGGATTGCATATCTAACATACAGCATGACCTTTCATGGCTGCTATTTAAGTATGTGACTTTGTCTTCAAGCTGTGGTACCTAATGTTTCAGTTGTATCATGGTTGAAACTATAGCTCACTGGTATGCATACTAAGTGTGTGTTGATCTAAACCAGACATAACTCATCTACTTTTCTGAAACCAAGTTGTGTCAGAGATGAGCCATCTGCCTAAGGAATCTTGGTAACCATACAGTGATGAAGCATATAATTGTTATGTTAGCAATAGGACATGGCAAACAGTATTTTTACTGCAATATTTTAACTACAGTACTTTTACTGTTTACTTCTTTCTAAACTTACTAGAATTTGTGGTTGAATTTTGCTTTAGCTGCCAGTTTTTCACAACATTCCTAATGGTTTTCAACTGCTATAATATAGTAGAAAAGCCATCCAGCCATTGAATTTGATTTTAATATAATCCCATATCATGGTTGGTTGAGTTTTTGACCCTGCCATTATCGATTTTTCAAAGAAAAAAAAAAGGAAACAAAACTAAAATAACAAAAACTTGGGGAAAAAGGAATGACTTTCTTAAAACCAGCCAATTAAAACATTAACTATCCTTTGCAAACAAAGCCTCCCCTTTATTTTAACCTTTTAATGGTTAATTGAAAAAGGGGGAAAAGACTCAAAATACTTATCCAATTAGTAGATGGAAAACAAACTTTGTCTTCAGGGATAGGGGAGTGATAAAGAATTAATGGGAGAGTGCCATTATGCGTCAGATTTAAAGCATTTGAATCTGATTTTTCAACACCAATGAAGTTTTTCATACATCAACGTATTTAAAATGTTTCCCATCCACAAAAATTTCCTTTAATTTTGTAAATATCAAGTAAGTATAACTGATATTTATTTTATATATTCCTATGGAAAAAGTAATGGTATTTTAATGTTCTGACATTTGTGATTATTTGCCAGTCTTTACTTTTTAACTTATTAAGGTTTCTCTAATTAAACTTGATAAGTTGTCTTTTGGTTTTTAGGGAAATATCTAAATGTGGGAAATTTACAACCCAACCTTAATACTGGGTTGTGTTTTATAGAGCTAAAGTCAATGCATTTCTGAATTTCTCAGGAGCACTGCAAGGCAAAAAAATACTCCAAATAAAAATGATATATGTAAGTTGGCAATGTCTTTATCCACAATAAAAAAGTTTTTTTAGCAAACAGCTGCTGACTTTTTCTTTAGGAGGGGGAGAAATGACTTACACATGTTGTTTATAGCAGCAGTTGAGCTACGGAAGCTAACGTCTTCAAGTGTTCACCGGATGTTGCTGTTAGGATGCCGTGTGAGCCTTGGAAATGTTAAATATGAACAATTTAATAGATGCCGAAGATTTTGTATGAAAAGAGGATCTGAGAGGTTTTAGTCAGCCTTTTAATTTTTTTTCAGAGGTAATATGCATCATTGGGCTCTTGGTTTTTCAACAAGATAATCAGTTATGTCTTCCATTTTTTTCTGAGATATGGAACTTGAATATTTTTAACAGTTTATGTGATGGTGGTATTGGAAGGAGCATGGTTTTTAGAGTTGGGAGATGGAGTACTGATTTTGATAGATCCTTTCTCTGTGATCTTTAACAAAATTGCCTTGACTATGAGACTGATTTCTTTCATCTTCGAACCCCCACATAGTAAATGGTCAGATAACATATTCATTCACAATATTAAATGAATAAACGTATCACTTGTGGAAGTGCTTTATTTATAAAGCCTATACTTCTACACGGATTTTAGAAGTTGTGATTATTACTGCCAAAAAGGGGGTAAGAATGTCAGGGGTGGGGGTGTTACTGAAGCCAAGGGCTGTTCAAGAGGGTAGGAAGAGGTCAAAAGTGTGGAAGTACTTGCTGCCCTGGCAAGGTATGTTTTGAGAAGAATCCATTGGATTTAGGGACTGGGAAGTTGTTGGCTTTGAGCTTGAGCCGCGTTCATGGAATGGCGGAAGCAAAGGCCATATTGTCAAGTGGGTTATGAGCAAGTAAAGATGTGTTTGTAGGCGACTCTGAGAAATCAGGCTGTGAGGGGGAAAGAGGACTTGAGTAGATGAGTTGGGTGGAGGGAAAGCTGTGTTAGGATGGGAGGCTGAAGCCTGTGTGAGTGCTTCTGGGAGGACACAGCTTAGGCCAGACCAAGAGGCTGAAGACCATGCAGAGAGTTTCTGAGAAGGGGGAGCTGATAGAAGCAGAACACGGCGGGGGGTGGGGGGCGCCTGGGTGGCTCAGCCGTTGGGCGTCTGCCTTCAGCTCAGATCATGATCCCGGGGTCCTGGGATTGAATACCACATTGGGCTCCTTGCGTGGCGGGGAGCCTGCTTCTCCCTCTGCCTCCTGCTCCCCCTGCTTGTGCTCGCTTGTGCGCTCGCTCGCTCGCTCTCTCACAAAATCTTAAAAAAAAAAAAAAAAAAAGGAACACGGAGGGTTGGCCTGAGAGAGGAAGGCTGCCTTTCTTGGGACGGGAGTGAGGGAAAGGAGGGCAGGTGGCGGGTGGATTGAGGTGGAGGGAAGTTGTGGGAATTTAATTCGGTGACGTTGGCAGGGAGTTTATCTGCTAAAAATGAGGGGGTGGGGAGGGTCTGAGGCAGGAGAAACCCAGTCAAGTGGGAGAGAGACGTGTGCAGATCATTGGAGGAATGTGAGACGTGCCAAGCACTTGGAGGCCTCATGGGCAGGGGCCAAATGGGGCCAGGGGGAATGGTGGTTAAGCACATGTTAGAGCAAGATTTGAGCACTCTAGAAGGAAGCAAGCTAGCAAATGAAATGTCAGAAGAGGCAAACAGTTCTTGCCCTTAACCAGCAATCATGGGATATAAAATGTTACGAACCTGAACCTTGTTTTCCTGTCTTTGGGACTTAGGTCATGTGAACATAGGATATATCTGCGGGGTTTACAGCACGCCTTTGCCATAATTAATACATCTAGTGAATTAATCGTCCATTATAATTACAACAGTGTTTGCTTTGGAGATAAAAATTCAAGAATGTAAATAAATAAAAACTTAAGGCAAATATTTGAACCCTTAGTTGGTTTTCTGCCTTGGTTCTTCTTTGCATCAGGCTTTCAGCCCTCCTGGGGTTAAGAAATGAATGATTTGCTCTATCATGATACCATAACTGTGATCATTTTCATCTGTGGCTGTTTTCACAAGATCCTCTCCTGTTCAACTCCAGCGTCCTCTGACCCTCAGAAATTAAGTCTCGATTGAAAATACTGTGAACTTAAGAGTTTCGTAAGGTTGTTTCCCAGATATCTTTGGCCTGTTAGAAATGTAAGCGACATCATTTTTTCTAAAATATGTGGCATTTGGGGATGCCTGGCTGCCTCAGTCTGGGGAGCGTTCGATTCTTGATCTCGGGGTCGTGCGTTTGAGCCCCACGTTGGGTGGAGAGATGACTTTAAAAATAAAATCTTTAAAAAAATAAAATACGGGTGCCTGGGTGCCTCAGTTGGTTGAGCGGCTGCCTTCGGCTCGGGTCATGGTCCTGGGGTCCCGGGATCGAGTCCTGTGTCAGGCTCCCTGCTTGGCGGGGAGTCTGCTTCTCCCTCTGACCTTCCCCCCTCTCATGTACTCTCTCTCAAGTAGATGGATGGAATCTTTAAAAATAATAAAATAAAATAAAATTAAAATAAAATAAAATAAAATACACAGCAATTAGATGTTGAAGGACCTTGTATTGTGAGACACTTTCCTCTAGCAATGGGCAATCAGCCTCAAGCCCTTCCTGACCCAGGGCAAGTGCAAACACTTCCCAGAGGCCAGTCCATCCCAGATGGTGAAAGGGAAACATGATTTCCTTTCAAGAAAAGACTTGGAAACCAGAGTCCTAAATACTTGCTTCAGGTTTCCTGCGCAGCTCCTTCCACTGAGGTGTGTTTCTAAAGAACCCGTGCTGTCATCTGTGAGGTAGCACATTAATCCCTTCAAAAAAGGGATTTTCAGGGGCGCCTGGGTGGCTCAGTCGTTAAGCGTCTGCCTTCAGCTCAGGTCATGATCCCAGGGTCCTGGGATCAAGCCCCGCATCGGGCTCCCCGCTCGGCAGGAAGCCTGCTTCTCCCTCTCCCACTCCCCCTGCTTGTGTTCTCTCTCTCGCTATGTCTCTGTCAAATAAATAAACTCTTAAAAAAAAAAAAGATTTTCAGGCACTCTGTGAATAAAGAGGGTGACGGTGATGGAGTCACAAGTTCTAGACTAATGAGGTAATTTTTTATTTTTGAAAACTTACATGGAATGTGTAGTCTTTTGGAATTTTTGGGATCATTTCAAAGTCGTCTCCCTAAAGCATTTACCACACCACGTGTAGATGTGCTCCTAGAGGCAGCCGAGGCGCGGGCTCAACCTGGGCTGCTCTCTCCACGCTTGCCCTTGCCCATTGCAGCTCCTGTGCTGGAAAATATTCAAGAGGGTAAACATCAATTCTCCACAGAACTGCCACTGGAGAAACGAAGACTTCAGTTTTTAGAAGTCTTTCCCCTTTTATTTACCCCCCTTCTTGGGCCATTAGTTTGACTTGGTGAAAAATAATTTTCTGCTGTCATCCTTTAATGTGTGTGTGTGTTTGTGTGTCAGATATTTCAAGAATAGACCTTAAGGATATTTAGAGACATCTGGCTATAGCAGTGGGACAGGTCAGCCCATCCCTCCCTGGAAAGAAAAAAAAAAAGAAACTAAAATGGTCAAAAACAACCTTTTGGGGGTCCTGGTAATTGACCAGAAACAGGCAAGAAACTGACGAGGTCAGCCCATCCCTCCCTGGAAAGAAAAAAAAAAGTAGGAAACTAAAATGGTCAAAAACAACCTTTTGGGGGCCCTGGTAATTGACCAGAAACAGGCAAGAAACTGAAAATTGTTTTTTGAAAAACACCTAGAGCTTCCGGTAAGAACCACTGGAGTCTGTAGGCCTTCCTGCCTGGGGCTCCCCAAACCTCCCAGTTTTCCTCGCACCAAGCCCATCATGAAAAGCTAGCAAAAGCTAATCATGCAAACCAGCAGCTTTGTTGCCCGAGGGGGTGGGCTGCATTGGGGGGGGGTGCGCGGGAGTAGACTATGCACAAACTGCGACTTTGTCCATTAAAAGTGCTGAACTTGGAAGGAAACATGGCGAAAAGACAGTCTGCCCTTCTTCGGATCGCAGTTCCAGATAGGGCGAGGGGCCGACCCGTGGGAACGAAGCGGGGAGACTCTGAACTGAGAAAGCCAAGGAAGGACTGGCCTTAGAGCGTTTCTCGGTCTGCGCCCAGGGCCGCGGGCCGGGGATGGAAGCCGCACGGGCTCTGCGGGCCGTTAGGCCACGCAGCCGCAACCTCTGAGAAGCCAGAGCACAGGATGAAAAGAAAAAAAAGAATATAAAAACACCAGAGACGCCAGGAGCTGCTCTCTCCCACGGCGGAGACCGGTTTCCTCAGTTTTTAAATCGAATCAGGTTTTTTTTTTTACAGCGGAATACCGTACTTGCTCCAGTATCATCCAAATTGTCCAGATTTCAAGAAAAAATTGTAAGGCAAAGAAGAAGGTGTGACCCAGGCTCAGGAAAAAAGCCATCAGAAGAAACTGTGTGGGCCCAGATGTTGGATGTAGCCCACAAAAACTTCCAAGCAGGGATGGCAAGGACAAAAAGTACATTCAAAAGGTACAGAATAGACACTTGCGTACACAATACGCAGCTTTATCAAATCTTAACACTGGGTCATATTTCCTAAAGAACGATGCTTTTTATTCGAGAAAATTTTGAACTTGGACTTCATGAAAACAGAAAGCAGCATCATGAGCCCATGGATGCTCTGCCAGCTACCTTCTTTTTTCTCTTCTTTCTTTTTTTAAGTTTGATTTATTTATTTGACAGAGGGCATGAGCAGGGGAAGCAACAGGCGGACGGAGGGGGAGAAGCAGACTCCTGGCTCAGCGGCGCTCGATCCTAGGACCCCAGGATCATGACCTGAGCCGGAGGCGGATGCTTAACTGACTGAGCCACCCAGGCGCCCCGTCTTCCTTGTTCTTTATTTTGAAAGCTTTTTCACATAGCACATCTTAAAACTGTAACAAGTAAGGAGTCAATTTTGTTACTTTTTGGAGGACAACAGAGATGATCAAATAATGCATGCTGCTTCCCTTTCTGAATTCTCCAGGCTTATTGTTAAAATTTGCCATCCCAGGGGCGTCTGGGTGGCTCAG